CCGTGTCCCCAGATCATAGGCGTGTCCCCCAGATGTGACCTACGTACGGAAGGTCAGCTGCCAGCCTTACTGTGCCAGGACTTCCGTTAAGACTGTGCCACTCAAAATTTAGTGGGCTTTTTAATGATCTAGAATGTGGTAAAGTGAATCAGGTAAAGGCTGTCAACATGGGTGACGTGTTCCTTTATCTGTGATTTTTTGGGGAAGATTACAGAAATATCACTCACTTGTTTCTATAAATATTTGATAAGGCCAATTGAATGTGATGAAATATTAAAAATACCATTTATTAAATATTTAAAAGTTCAGTTCTTGGAACCGGCCGAATCTCTCCATTCTGCAGCCCGCTGAAAGGAGCGGTTTATAAATTGTGAATTACAAAACGAGGATCCTGGGAGCGGAGCTGTACAATTCTTTTTGCCTCGAACCGTCAGCCATTTTCAGCCGCGGGCCTTTCCGCCAGGGCAGAAGTACGTGCGTCGTTCTTGTGACCATCGCCGGTTTTATGCAGTTTGCTCCACCTGGCATTTCCACATTCCTTCTGGACTGAATACGCTCACTCGGCTTAAGTGTCAGCACTTTCATGGACTCACCCGTGGGAATAGTCTGCAGCTTTATTCGCTGTGCTTATAACTTCATTAATACCACCTTAATATGAAAACAGGTGGGAGTCAAATACTGCTGTGAAAGGTCCGTTGTCAATAGTAAGTTGAACTCACATCTTCTGTGTTTTAAAATGAGATCAGTGACAGACAGTGGAGGCTTTGCTCCGCTTCCTTCAAGACCCGCCGTTTCTCGGTACTAGGCCTGTGACTCCAGGCACCCGTCCACCTGTGTCCCAGGACAGGTTAACAAGGCACCTGGGGAGGACGGGAGTCTCAGCCACAGGTAAACACTCAGCCTGACGGCAGAGCAAGGTTATTTCGTGTGCCCAGTGGGACCCTCTCAGACCAGAGGCCGCAGCAAACTGGGGCCCGTGCCAGGCACGCCCCCAGGTACTCGCCACTGTCCTAGAGGGTATTTCTGAAGAAGGGCAGGTGCAGCCTACCCATCTAATTCTCTTCTTTGCCAAATCTCCTGTCCCGGCAGCAGCTTTTGTGAGTGGAGGAGATCCTTTCCGAAAGCCCTTTAAATGTTGGGTCTTCATGATCTGGGTTTGATCTCACGTCACGTCTCCCCGTAACCGAATCCCAGCCTACCTCTCCAGACAGATCCCGCAGTATTTCAGCGTGTTCTGTTCCTCCAGATTCTCTAGCCTCCTGGAATTGTAACACCCACCTGCCAGAAACAAAACACGAAAAGCACCTTCCCAGTGTTAAAACGCCAAGCCATACCTGGTTTTCTGTTCTCAACACCAAAACTATCTTCTCTAAGAATTTACAAACCAAACACTGGGTTTATTTGTACTGTACGTGAAATTGTTTATATACGCATCCATTTACCAAATAGTTCCCAAGTAAAGGTGCAGTGCTGGGTGCTGGGGATTAACAGGGAACAAGGGGTCTCACTCTCCCAGAATCCGTGTTTTTGTTCACATACGTGTTTAGGAGAAGTAACAGCAACACCTCAGTGGCATTCTACCGGGCGCCAGGCTCTGTCCTGAGCGTTTCACACGTGACTGGTTTGATCACACAGCAGCCTATCAGGTGGGTACCAGTGCTGTACCCACTAGTACAGATGAGGAAACTGAGACCCGTGGGGGAAGCCGGGTAACCTGCCCCAACGTCCCAGGCTGCACCCCCCGCCCTGCCCTCTGTCCAGCAGTGTGGCCATGAGTAGCAGAAGAAAAGGACGAGGGCAAGTGGGGGCAGAGTTGCTGGAGGAGGGAACGTTTAGCAGAGACCCGAGGGGATGAGTCCCCTGAGACCCTGCCAGGGGACTTCAGAGGTCAGAGCGGTTTTTTTTTTTTTTTTTAATTTTTTTTTTTCTGACGTTTATTTATTTTTGAGACAGAGAGAGACAGAGAGAGACAGAGTATGAACGGGGGAGGGTCAGAGAGAGGGAGACACAGAATCAGAAACAGGCTCCAGGCTCTGAGCTGTCAGCACAGAGCCTGATGTGGGGCTCGAACCCATGAACCATGAGATCGTGACCTGAGCCGAAGTCGGACGCTTAACCGACTGAGCCACCCAGGCGCCCCTGGAGGTCAGAGCGGTTTTAATAACATCCCGATGTTACCTCCCTTCCTCCTCCTCCTCTCACACTTGCACGGTGGGTGCTCTCTAGGGGCTGGGTGACATGTGACAGCGTGGCATACTGGCCGCGGTAGAAGTGAGGACCCAGCCGTCTAGGTCTGAAGCCAGACGGTAGAAAGATTTGCAAAACTGTAAAATGTTACCACTCTTTTAACTCTGTTTTCAAAAATAGTTATTTTCATAAAAATGTTATTTATGTTAACATAAAATAGGTTTGTTTTTAAAAATGAATCGATAGGGCGCCTGGGTGGCGCAGTCGGTTGGGCGTCCGACTTCAGCCAGGTCACGATCTCGCGGTCCGTGAGTTCGAGCCCCGCGTCGGGCTCTGGGCTGATGGCTCAGAGCCTGGAGCCTGTTTCCGATTCTGTGTCTCCCTCTCTCTCTGCCCCTCCCCCGTTCATGCTCTGTCTCTCTCTGTCCCAAAAATAAATAAACGTTGAAAAAAAAATTAAAAAAAAAAAATGAATCGATAAAATTTTTCTTTTTTTGAGAGCTTATTTTTGAGAAAGTGTGAGTGGGGGAGGGGCAGAGAGAGAGAGAACCCCAGGTAGGCTCTGCACTGTCAGCACAGAGCCTGATACGGGGCTCGAACCGACAAACTCTGGGATCGTGACCTGAGCCGAAGTCGGACCCTTAACTGACTCAGCCACCCAGATGCCCCAGTAATCAAATTTTTCTTGATTTTAATTTCCAGTGCAGTAAATGCCGGTAGGGATCGAGAGGATAGATCCCACGTAAACAAAAGCTGCTTAGGGTCCTCAGTAACATTTGGTGTCAGTGGGCTCTGAGAGCAGAGGTGGAGAACCACGCCGCAGGTTTAGAATGTGGGCACGCGTGAGGGGGAAGTAAAAAGAAATGCCCAGAACGTGCTGGGGGAAACGGATTCAGAGAGGGACCAGGCCCTACAGGGAGAAGGTCTCACACGGGCCCCCTGGGAGCCCCGCCCCAGGCAGAACAGATGGATGGGAATTACACTCCGATTTGTCCGGGGAGCTGACGGCCAGGATGGCAGTTCTTAACCCTTAGAACGAAAGTAGCCGCTCTAGTGCCCAACCAAGGAGCAAAGAGGTCACTTCTCCGGTGATCTGCCTGTCTTTGTGGATTGTGAGGATGTCCCTGGTGTACAGATGAGGAAATTGACAGTAAGAGGTCAGTTTGGTGCTCAAGGTCATGCAGCAAATGATAGAGGGGAGCTGGACTCTGACCCCAAGTCAGCCTGACCTCAAAGTGGCTTACTTGTAGGGGGCGCCTGGGTGGCTCAGTCGGTTAAGCATCCGAC